ACTTTAATGCCTTTGTCAATCCTTAAGAAATTGATTCTAAGAGAAGAACAACTTATAAAAGTACCTCGACAATTGACAGATCAGTCGTGGAATTACTCTAGAGGAGTTAATGAGTATGTATTACTTAAATAAGAAGTCTATCTTCCTTAGAAATTTTATTATTTTATATATCATGCAAGATAAAAAAAGTGTAAAAAATATTAGGATAATTATTTTGGTAAAAATAATGGGGATTATAGATGTTAGAAGACAGGAATTAACTATGTGAGTTAATGTACGAAGTGGCTTTTCATATTCTTAAATCAATATAATTTTGTAATGATGATAATAATAATTTATTTAGTGTTAATATCATAGATTTGTGGATGCCACAAAATTTATGAGAATAAGGACATTGAACTTTTAGAAAAAAATAGAATTTTGAATTGATTTTTTTATTTGATGAAATTTTAACTTGATTTACTTTTACATTATGTGAATTGGACACTTCTAGATTAAAAAAAAAAGACAATGAATTTTTTCTTAAATGCTAAGGAAACAATTTGGTTTTGTGTTATGAAGCATCGTGGTGATAATCAATAACATATGTGCTTAAAATTTATAATGTAACATAATATTGCCAGATAAAGAGCATTTCATTGCTCAAAATGTGAATAGAATACTAAAAAAATAGAAAGCTTAACATCATGACACTCACAATTAGCTCAACAGTGCTAGAATATTGGAGAAAAAAATAGATTTAGGATTGAGCATGAAGTGCTATGGAGCAAAATAAAAGAATGTCTTAACACTACATTAAGTAACATATGGCCTAAAATAGTGATAGCTAAGGGTCATGATGTTGTCCCTTAGCATTATTGTGCTTCATCTCATAAGAAAAAGATAGAATGTTACATCCCATAACACTCACATAACTAGTAATGGGACATGATAATTTGGTTGATTCAATTTTGAATTAATTTTTGAGCTAGTTTAGAGAGATATCAGAGCAATTATGAGGAGTTATGTAAGTAGGGACAGTACCTGATATAAAATAAGAGAGTGTAGATGATACACTCAAATTCCATGTGTAGGGGTCCCACGCAAGTGTACATGCAGTATCAATAATGTCAAATTTTGAGTCTGGAATATTGATCCCACAAGGAGTGATGTAATTAGATTTAAGAGAAATTCTAGCCTACTAGTTTTAGTTCTTAGCCTAAAATTGAAATTAAGTAAAGGTTTTACAAACTAATCCTACTGAATTACAATCTAATTTAAAGGTTAACTCCAACAGAAATCTTACTTATCATGATTGGTTTGGTGATTATCAAGTTATAAAGTTACCCTTCCTTGTAATGCTTTATGTGGTAGTGTAGAAAATGTAAAATGTCAATTGTGAATTTAGCTAGTGACAACTCTCTTCCTTACCCTCTTTTGAGTGAATAAAGAAGTTTGCTTAAATTGATTTTAATTCCTTAAACCCCAGCTTGAACCCATCAAAGACTATATCCCTAACATTTGCATCTCATTATGAATTACTTGCACCATACCCTATAGATCAATACGAGTAGCCTAGTTGTTCTACCATAGCTCTTACGATTTATTATGGATCACAACACATTTTAACTAATCACTATGCTAGAATGAAAAGTGAATAAAATTTAGAAGGTTACTCATCACATTTGATTTTAAAGAACCAATTTTAGAAACACTTTGCACTTCTGTACAACCTACTCAACCAGTACAAGGAAAAGTAAAAGAGATCTACTCAAAAAACATGGAGAACACACCACAAAACATCATTTGAACCAAGAAAATCATGATAAGTCAGTACTAGAAGTAAACTGTATCAATTGATGGTAAATGTCGAAATTACAATAATGGTTACAAATACATGATAAATGTTCTTCATGCAATCATTAAATACATAACAAGATTAACAAAAAGAATAAAAAAAAACATCAAGTCAATGACAATCACGAACACATCCAACTTTATTTTGTTTTGCATTGAGCTAGACTTAAGCTTCTTGATGGCCCGTTCCTCATGTCATGACTAGTTATAAGCTCAAATGAGACTATTTGCATCGTCTAACCAGAAGAAATAACCATAATCATCTTTATCTCAGTTGTGAGGACACCTTAAGAATCTTCTTCTAGTATTTATTCTATTATAGCATATGAGCATGACACATTGTAGAATGCTTACTTCATTCCCTTTCATAACTAAGGCTAAAAAGAAACAATTATACTAAATTAATACTGGTTTCAACATTTGGTGTTAGATTTTTAAATACATAAGAATTGTGGTAAATGGCCCGTTTGGCATTAAGAGATATGTAGGTTGAAGCTTTTAATGTTAAAATATTCCATGAAAATTCTTCATTTAGATGAGAGAAAATGTTTTTGGAGTCCAAACTTCATAGGTGCAATTGATCAAATTGATTATAACATAGAAGGGTGAAACAAATTTTTACACTTTTTGAATAAGCTTAGATTTGAATTCCTAATCAAGATGTAGCATATTTAACATAACAGTAAGGGTTTTGAATTGAAAAGCAGCAAATAGCTACAATTTTTTTTGGAAAACAAACTAATAGCATTAAAATAACCGTCTATTAATTTTTGTTCATAGCAAAATAATTTATATAACCCAGCTATGTGAAAAGAGTTTGTCCTCTAAAACTAGCACATCCAAATAAAACTTAATCAACCATTGAATCATTTTATTCACATCTAAAGTAAGCATGCACATTCAAATATATGGGATCCTTTTTGCTAGAGCTTGATAGAATTATTTGGCCAAGAGTTTTTTATTATTATTATTTTTCATCACCTGTTACATACGCATAGGATGAAGAGTCTTTGAGAATATGGACAGAAATGAGCTCACTGATAGAGCATGTGTTGGAAAATGATTGTAAAATAAAATCAGACAAGTATTTGGCTTGAACTTATAGCAAGTGATTGTTACATGATAGACTGTCAGATACAAAGTCTCATTTGCGCTCCTCTTGGTATTTTGTAGGTTTTAGATGCTTCTCCCTTAAAAAAAATAAGTTTGGGAGCATTATATGTAAAAATGACTATTTTGGGAGACTTGTATGTAAAAACCCCATATAAATATGTTGTTGAGCTATCTTTAATAGAGAAATTTTTAGCACTATGACTATAAAGGCTAATACATCATGGCTCTTACAGACATGTCCAAAATTCATCGAAATTTAGGCCTTAGAAATATTTCCTTGCCACCAATATAATTGTTTCTAAAACCGCTAAAATTTGAGTAATATGAAGAGGATATCCAATAACCCTCATGTTATAAGATTTTGTCTTTAATATTTTATTTTCTTAATTACTTTTATATTGAATGCATTTGGGATAAAATTGAACTTAAGTATCGAAAGAGTTTAGTCTTAATCCTTACGGGTCACCATTGTTTTGGTCCAAATATATTGGTGCTATTTGGTTGCTCTTGCTTTTTAAATCTATTTTTATTGATATGTGAAGTAGAGTATGATGTAAGATGAATCATTGTTCAAGTAAAAACATTGTTTTAATTTTTTTTTACTTGTATGTTTTTTTCTTCTAGAGGGCGTGGGTTGTGGAAAAATTATTTTCTTTCATTAAAATTATAAATTAATTTTATTTGTTACTTTTTTTTCTTTTGTAGGATGTGGAGAGATGTATAACTATTTTCTTTTATCATGCTTTATAAAAATTTTGTTTTTATACAAAAAAAATTATTTCATCACTTTATTTTCAATTTAATCTTGAATGGCAAAGAAAATATTATTGTGTAAATTTATTGTAATTATATAGTTTTAAAACTTATATTGTATAATCACATTTTAGATACTCGGCCAAATTTATCTACATCATCAATAATTGCATTACATAAGTTTATTGCTTATCACACACTTTATTTTTGACATAAGAATGTAATGTGATTAATAATGTCTCCTAATTTTAATCATCTACCATCTTCTTTTATACATCGATGAGAACAAAGTAGCAATTAACAAATCCTTAAGGAAAGTTTATTAGTTGTTGAGTATGTATCTCAAGTTTAAGGAAAAAAAAAGAGAGAAAACAAAACAGAGACAAAAATTATTATAGAGTAAGGAGAAAAAGATGAGTTATTGCTTCTCTTAGAAAATCAAAATTGGCTGCCCAAATATGTCCTTGAAAACTAACATTCAAATTTTCTTAGAGATATGTAGAATCAATTTTGAGCAACGAGCGAAGCCATGGTAGATCATTCTAATATACAATAATTTATGAAGCGCTTTCTTTAATAGCTCATAATCCCATGGAAATTAAGATAGTGTATGGTTCGTAGTGCAGAATCTGATCATCACGAAAAAGTATACAAAAGCATTTTCTTACAAAAGCCTAATTAAATGTCATAGCACATAAAATCTATACTTAGTATTATAAATAATTTTCCGTGTTATTTAGAAGAAGCATCTTTATGTTAAAAGGATTGCTATTTTTCTGTAAGCTCTTAATTTTGAAAGGTTTGTTTTTTCGCGACTGATCAATTTCCTAAACAAATTTATCAACAGCTTATAGAAATAAAAAATAAAAAAAAAACAATCTTTATTGCTTTATCTACTTCCACATATGCAAAAAGTTTTCAGTGGTTTATATTAAAAAATTGCCGTCAATTTTATGATCGATCAAAATCACCTTATTAGAGATGGCATGAACAACGGATCCCGCAAAATCTTGGTTGGTTTGTTGACCAAAAATAATATGTTTTTGGGCGGACAAATTATTCACCAAACATCGCAAATGAATCTACATGACAGATCAACACATCCTGTCACCGTCTGACGGAATCATACAAGCTCGATTACTAATTAAAAGGCATAGTTTAAAGATTAAATACTAGCATTTCTTCATTAGTCCTTACAAATTTATCTGAAGCGTGACGCTATACATATAAACCCTAGGACTCGGAGCGGGTTTCACCGACGAGTTCTTTTAAAAATGTACGCAGTGGGCCAACCAAGACGGAACCAACACATCGGAGGACAAGCATCGGGCCCGCAAACCAATGATGTGATATCCCCACCGTTCAGTCCTTCTGTATGCTGCTGCTAGCTATCAGATACACTCTGCACTGAATCACCGTCTTCCCCACCTTAAACCCCGGTACCACCGTGAAACCCACAGCCGGACGGCGATCAGCACCAAGTTCCACCTCTGCAACGCTCTCCATATACACCTCCGAGAACCGGCTCCCCTTCTTGACCTCAAAGATGGCTGCTTTCTCTCCTGTTCCGAAAGAAAAGAACAAGCAATGAAGAAGCCAAACTCGCCTCGCCATTTCCGAGAAACCCTCGAAGAAATCCGTCTCAAGGATCCCTTGGCTGGAGCTCAACGCCACCTGTTGCTCCTGGTCACCAAAGAACGAAGCTTCCATCTTCGGATGCACCAATCTCAAATACTTCACCCTGCAAAACTTCTCAAATTGGATTTTTGTATCAATGCACTGTTTTGGCTTCAAAAATTTAAGCTCGCTAAACTCGGCGAAAAACCCCTGGCGATCACGTACGGGTCCTCCGAGGCTAAAGTCGGGGTTCTGGAAATCAGAGAACATTAACCGCGAGACATAAGACTCGAAGGCAAAGACTCTGTTTTTTAAATTACAGTGGCCAAGAAGATCCGGTTGGATCGCGCTAGCCGCAGCGTCAAGGTTCCACCCGGCGGATTCCATTTCGAGGGTCATGATTTTGACAAAGGAACGTATGGATTTGACCGCAGAGCGGAGGAGGGTGAGGAAGTGGGTGGGGTTGAGGCCGGTTAGATGAAGCTCATCTAATGCGGCAAGGGTACGGCCGGGCCTGAGTCGGGCTTCCAGAACCCGACACCGCTTTTCAGCTGCGCGAAGCTCCGATTGGAGGTAAAGGACTTCGGAGTCTTTAGACCGTAGCTCGGATTCCAACTTCGTGGTGGTGATTTTATAGGTTTTGAGAAGGTTACGCTGCTCCTGGACCTGGGAGGAGAGCTCTGGCTGAGCTCCTTTTGAGGTCCGGCTGTGCTCTGCTCTGTTTAGAAAGCTCTGTTTCAGAACAGAAAGCCGCTTGAGCTCGGTGACAATGGCTTGGTCAGCGGATTGAATGGCATCGGGGTCGTAAGGTGTTTGGGCGAGCTGGAGCTGGGCGTACGCGGCCTTGACTGCAGATACTCCAGCGAAGATTTTCGCTGCAACTGATTCTATTTCTTTCTGGCCGTGTTGGGAGATGTCGCTGGAATGTTTGTTATTGTAAAGGGATTCTTCCTTGGCAGTGATGGGGGCAGTTGTGCTTGAGTTGAAGTTGTCATGGCGGAAGCGGAGGAGCTTGGTGAAAGTTTTTGAGAGAACGGCGAGGCCAATGGGCGGCGCCGGCGCCGAGATGCTATAATCCATTTTAGGAGATGAAAAATGGAACGAAAACAGAGGGGAGCCCTAGGGCAAAGCGTCCGGGTCTAAGAGATAGGACGACGTTGGAGCTGGGCCTTTTAAAAGCGAGAGAATCTCATTCAATTATTTTTTATTTTATTGGAATAGGACCGTTGGATTCTTTCTCCATTAGTTAAGCGCCTTATAGGACATTGTGGGTTATATCTCCACAAGTTTCCTTGTGGTGCAATGTGAATCACATCTGCAAATTTGAAATTGACTTAATTTTTCTTTAATACTCATTTGTTTTTTAGTTTATAAGTGTTTAGTGATATTCTTAATAAATTTTAGTTGGAATTACACCAAATTTGATGGATCTTCTAAATCTTAAAAGAGTTAATTATTTTGGTCAAGATTATTAGGAACTTATATGGCTCATGCTTTATAATTTAAAAAATTTATGATTAGGATTTTGTGATTTCATGAGGTAACTCAAAAAGAAAAAAATCACATGAATTTAAAATTAGATGGGTTTAAATCAAAGTATAAAAAGCATAATTGACGATTTAGGTGCATGTTTTACACTAATATCCATTGTATTTTGTATTTCAAGAAACTAAAATATGTGAGCTCAAACAATAATATTTCCAAATCAAATAGCCAATCATTCTCTTAAACACATAAGAGGAATTTTTTATTTTGTTAATGAGAAGTTTGAAAAGTGCATATTCCTTACATGTTTCTTTATATTTAATGTGGTGGTAGTAATGAAGTTTCAACAATACATAAATGGCCATTTTGGAAGTAAAAGAGCAGTCGTAGATACTAAAAGAAGTAGTTGATCCTATGAGTCAATATCATTAGTGTGTGGCTTAGTTGTGTGATTTGATGATAAAAACTGTAGCAAAGAATCATTCAATGGATTGTTATGTCATTTTGCATGGAATATTTATTATCTAAATCATGAATATGAAGACTTCTCAAGGAAGCCCTACAATTTTCTATAGCTTGAATGCAATAAAAAAAATGCTATAATAAGATAAACATCCCCAAGGACCATAAATATAATACTAAGAAAAAAATCTAAATTATATTTCTTTATATAATTTTTATTTATATATAAATAAAAGTTTTTTTATTCTATTATTAATACATATATTTGACTAATGATGACAATTAGCAATTTTATGCTCGAATATTATTTTATTTTAGAGTTGGTTACTAGTATTATTAATAGTTACCTAGCCTTCATTTTTATTTATTTTTAAGATATATATATATATATATATATATTGAAGAGTGAAAAGTTACACAGCAAAAGAGGGGTTCTAACATATGGAATGTTAAGCCCATACGACTTTAGAGAAAAAAAAAACTGGTCAATAGGAGGAGAAGTATCAAGGAAGGCCCTTTGAGATGAAGGAGCAAACTTTGTAAGGTAACCTGCAGGCTCATTTCCTTTCCTATATATGTAATTCAATTGCAACATCAGAGAACAGGAAAGCTAAGCAATTTGCTTGATATGAAGGTTGATATGCTAATGTTCGAAGAACAATGAAGAGCAGCACTTCCATGGAATCATAGATTCCATCTCCACAATAATGTTGTTTCAATCAAAGACTATAGCAAGCCAGAAAGCAGCTAGGACTCCCTCAGCCTCAGCATGTAGTGGAGATACAACAACACATGGAGCTAAAAAATGATAAAAAATTTACCCAGATGATCCCTAAAGACTCACCAAAATCCAGCAGCAAAATCAGAGAAACTCTTATCTATATTGACTTTTGGCGTAGGATTACTCCAAAAAACTAGCTTACATAAATAAGTGTTTGCCTGAATTGATGTAGTGAAGTTATTTGAAAGTGCATGAAGTGCATGCAAAAATCTAGCCTGAATGCCACCATACATGATGACTTTCTAAAAATGGGAGATGAGGTGACAGAATGTTGTTGTAGATCTCTCCCCATGGTCATCATCCTTCAAGCCATTCGTACCATCGAAATGAACCAACAAACTTAAATATGCAAGATTTTAAAAACTTGTTAAATGGTGAGACCAGTCCAGCAAACAATTGATGATTTATTGATATCTTCTCATATGTAAGTCCAACTACAACAAATTAGTAAGGCATCTTCAAATATTTATGGCATACATACAAAATAAAAAAAAAAATGTGAGAAAGAGACTCCACAACACATTTGTACAAAAGCAAAAGAAGGGAATCTAATGCCTTTAAGCTTAAAGATGTCAATAGTAGGTATAAATAAGTGCATTATCCTTAAAGCAAAGAAGGAAATGGAAGGTTTAACTAGAGAGTTCTAAGGAAACTTAAAGATCAGAGGCACAACAGGTTGTTGAAAAGAAAGTGCAATAATCTTGGACGAACATATATTAGCACCACCCTTACAAATTTAAAATACATGTTGTTGTGATCAAAATGAATTTTGAAAATTAATTAAGAATCATTTTGAGACACCAAATTTCTCACTTTTAGAGCATCCCATCTACCCTTAATCCAACATTCAACCACTGTAACACTAAGGTCCATATGACTCTTCTGATTCAACTCATAAGGCTCAGCAAGAGCACTAACTGATGACCAATCATCAAACCAAATAGACTTTTCCAACCCCTAACTCCCAAGTAAATAACTCTTCTGATTCAACTCAATATTTGCATATTTCCTTCCAAATGATAGAAATAATATTATGCAAACTATAAGACGAAGGATGAGATTGGCCACAATATTTACTCCTCGTAAGGTCAGACCAAATAGAGTCACCAAACCTATAATTAAGCCAAAGCTTCATAAAATTGATTCTCATAGATTCCTACAATGACCTGAAACCAAGACCACCAGGAATGATAGGCTTACATATTATTTTCCAATTGACACAATGGAGGCTTGAGCTCTTGCGTTCCCACAAAAATTTATTAATCAACCTCTCTAATCCTTACAAAATAGATGAAGGCATTTTGAAAATTGCATACAATATAGAGGTATCGTAGTGAGAGCACTTTTAAACAATGTGATTTTATACTCTTAAAGATGAAAATGTTTTCCCAAGAATGGTGCTTGGTAGAAAAATTTTTTGAGATCTTCTCATATATATGGCATTTCCTTCTCCCCTTAGCAAACACGAAACCAATATAAGAAATTGCTAAGGAAGCTTTAGCACAATGAATGAAATAAAAAATCCGCTCTCTCTTAGTGATAGGAACATTTTTACCAACATAAAACATGCATTTACTCGCATCAAAAATCATTCCAGACACAACTTTAATATGAGCAAATTGGTCACATAGCTTAACAATAGTTCTGTTAACTCTTGCAAAGACAATAAAATCATTAGCATATGCTAGATAAGAGTATTTTAAGTTTCCTTTAGTACTATAGATCAAGCTGAGGTTGTTGGAGGTCAGCTTCTCTAAAGTTCTAGATAGTCAAAAGCAAGGATTAAGAGAGTAAGAGATAGAAGGTCACCTTTTTTATACCCCTTGATGCATTGAAGTAACCATGCTTCCTACCATTAAAAATATTAATTAATAGATTTCATTAAGTAACAACGGAATTAAGGAACACAAGGCTGCATTGAAACTCATATGATGAATAACCTGAGTAATAAAGTCCCAATATATAGTTTCTTAGGTTTTTTTTATATCCATCTTCAACATCATTTTACCACATAAACATTTTATCGAGGTGCAATATCAATTCAAGAGAAATAAGAATATTATCACTAATATTTTTACCTTTAATGAATGTTGCTTGGCAAGGAATGACCACTTTATGGAGGTGAGGTTGGAGCCCTGACATAGTTTTCATGCTTAGGATTTTAGGGACCACAGTAGACAAGCTGATAGTTCTGAAACCAGTCCAAAAATTAGGTGGCTAAATTTAAGAAATAAATGCAATGAAGAAAAACATAAAGTGCTTGTGAAGATCATGATCTCTAAATAAATCCTTGACAACAATAATATTAGGTTTAGTGACTTCCCAACAGAGTTTGTAGAAGATAGCCCCAAAGCCATCAAGGTCAATTGTTTTAATATTTTTAATATCATCCACAACCAAGAACATATCCAACTCAGTAAGTAATTCAAAGAGCTAAAGGCTGGAAACAAAGTTCCTATTATTTTAGAAAAGATGGTGTTAACTTGTTGGGCACCGTGGTGGTTAACAAAAAAAATATCCTGAAAATAAGAGATCCCATTATAGAGAATTTCACTTTTTTCAATTTCCCATTCACCTTGGTGGTTCTGCACTTTTAGAAATGCATTTCTATTCTTCCCCCTATTAATAAAAACATGAAAATACTTTGTGTTTCTATCACCATCCACAAAATGGCGGCATATAGGTTTTTGGCTTAAAAGGTTCTCCTTTAAAGTTATCTGAACAATAGAAGTATTCTAAGCACTATTCAATTTAGCTAAAGATATTTTTGGTATGGGATATTTTAGTTAGTTAGGGTGTGAATTAGTGAGTTATATTTTTGGGTGTAGCAATTAATGCGTTAAGGTTAGAGTGTAAATTAAGGTATGGTCTTCAGGTGGCATTACCTGTCAGTTCAGATGAGTTTGATGGGTTTAATTTTTTTAGGTAGTGTTAGATTTAAGGATTGGGTTTGTGGGTCAAGTAAGGGGAAAATTTTGGGTAGAAGATGAATAAGTGAAATGTGTGGATTTAGTTTGTGTGGAAGTTGTGAGAAAACAAGAAAAGAGGGAGGTGATGGATCAACCATGACAAAAAAGAGGGTAAAAGATGGACTATAGATAATACAAAACCAAATAAACATAATCCCTACCATGTGAAAAAAATGGAAGATCGATCAACAAATAAAAATAATTACATCGTGCACAACAAATTTGAAATGAGAAGAAAAAAAAAACATGGTCAATGTAATGCAATAATTAAATTGAATATGTAAGAACAAAGAAAACATGATTCCTATAATTCAAAAAAAAGAGAGAAAATTCCCATGAATCTCACCATGCACTAATTAAATTGAAAGAGTAGGTTTTGTTTTGCAAAATTATTTTCCATTTTTTTGGTGCTCTTCCTTGCTTTAATGAAAGTTATCATTGGTTCCTTAATGTTCTTCTCTTACTTGATCTTCCTTTCT